AAGGGTCTAGGCCCGAAACGTCAGCCTCTCTGCTCCTATGATGCTGCTTGGCCTGCTGTGTTCATCCAGCCCTGCACCTTGTTGTCTCGGATTCTCCAGCATCTGCAGTTCCTACTATCTCCGAGTTAATCCAACCTGTCTTTATAGTTAACCACGTCCATCCCAGACAACATCCAGGTGAATCTCCTCTGCACCCCATTCAATGTAATCACATCCTTCCAATCAAATCTGGGATTTAAACAGCAGTTGGTTATGAATTAAGATACCAATTTACGGTTACCTTATAAATAATTTAGACTGATTCTACTTTGTTACCAATTGTGGACTTTACAGGATGGCTATGTTTTAAAATGATTCCTTAACTCGAGGTAAAATTGGAATATTGTGGTTATTACTCCCGCTCACAAACTTCTAAAGTGATCTGGTGGCTGCAGGAAACAAACTCAAAACAGAATCCTATTGAAATTTAGACAGTGTTTTGACACATTGACACAGTAACAATGTCTCAAAAGGGCCTTTTCTTCAAAATAAAGAGAAAGACAAAGAAACAGGTGCAATGTAGAATAATAAAGCAACCAAATCTGTGAGGAGCACAGATATACTGTTTTCTGTTAACAACCAAGCAAGGTGTTTGTCAGAGCTTGTCGACTTTTCAAGAAAAAGGGGACAGAAGTGACAAGACCTTTTGGAATTAAGGGACAAGAATTTGCCAGGGTGGGTCTTGCTGGTGAAGGTTGGATTTGAGAGATGCAGGCTGATTGGAGCAAGCTTTGAAGGACACTGGGAGTTTTGACCAGGTGTGGTAAAGATAAACGCCTGGAGATCCTGGTTGAACCTTAAGCTTGTTCTTGCAATGTTACATATCTACCAGAAGCACAGTGAAAGGGGTACAAGTCATATCTTGATTGCATCTGTTAATGCAAAAGTATCTTCTTTAGTTTGTATTAGTTGCCTGTTGTGTAATGTTTGATCTAAAATGGAAACAGGAAGTGCTGGAAAGTCTCAGCAGATCTGGCAGCTTCTTTAGAAAGGCCACTAGACCTGAAATATTACTTCTGTTTCTCCCTCTACAGATGCTGCCAGAGCTGCTGATTTTCTCCAGCATTTTCTGTTTTTGTTTTTCATTTCCAGCATCCGTGTTTTTTTTTGTTTGATCTATGTTGATTTTAGTTTGTTTAATACCATAAACTCTTAAAATGTGAAATCTTGCCCTTTAGTAATTTCCATTAGTTGCTGGGAAATTCATTCCTTTTAAAAGGGATCTCTAAGGGATTGTAACAACTTAAAATGAAATTGGGATAGTAATGGGTTAGATTGGTCTCCATGCAAATTCAGCCTGGGCTCTGAGAAAATATATTTTCATTTCTGACGTCAATTGTCTTTAATTGGAGTTTGGTTTGTGACCTCTTTGTACAAACCTGGCACAAAGTTTGGCGATGTCAGAGGCTGTAAAGATGACTCTGAAGAGCTGAATTCAGATATGACGCACCTTCCCAAGGCTAAGGCACAGCAGAGAAAGGGAGGAGAAGGGGGAAAATTGGACAGTTCAAAATTGTTGAATTAGTCCATAGAATCCCTAGTGTGGAAGCAGGCCATTTGGCCCATTAATATTACACCAACATGCTGAAGAGCATCCCATCCAGACCCACCCCATAGCCCTGCGTTTCCCATGGGCCACCCAGCCTGCGCATCCCCTGACACTATGGGCAATTTAGCATGGCCAATCCACCTAAACCCCACATCTTTTCGACTGCGGGAGGAAACTGGAGCGCCTGGAGGAAACACACACAGACACGGGGAGAATGTGCAAACTCCACACAGGCAGTCACCCGAGGGTGGAATTGAACCTAGGCCCCTGGCGCTGTGAGGCAGCAGTGCTAACCATGGACCCATTGTGACAACTTGCCCAAACATTGATGTTCTTTAATTTGATAATCAGAAGTATGTATCTTTTTGCTGATAAATACATTTAACTGCAATCAGAAAAAGCCTAAGAAGTGAAAACTTTTCACCAATCAACTTTTATTTCCTTTTTAAAAAAAACAAAATGGCATATAACAGCATTAACCTGCATTTCTAGTAGTGATCCCACATTCCTTTTGTATGACCAGTCCCACTTTGTCTTTACATAAGGCCAGCAGGAGAAGCTCAAAAAATGAGTTGAAGAAATCATTCTGAAATTTCAACTGGCTTATAAACGATAAAATCCACAAACAGCATTAATACAGTGAGGGTGAGAAAGGTCAACTAGGAAGTAACCCGACATATCAGCATATATGCAAAAAATATGTACATCATTCAGCTGTTTGGGCTTCAGAGGGAGGGAGATCCTGTGAAAGATTGCCATTAAAAAGATGTTTCACTGTACAGATCCTGTAAACAACACAGATAAAATCATAGGCTCACTAGCAGAGAGAGGACTGTTGTGTTTTTGAATTGTTGCATAAAGAAACTGTTAAGCCGTTTCAAGATTTTCTTTCAGCTTCACCTTGTGGGGAAAGCACAAAGCAGCTCAGCCTCCTCCTCTACCTCTGCATTCATTTGACGAAATGATTCAGTATTTTCTTTCAGTAGCTCCGAGAGGACTGTTTGAATCAAATATCCCTGTTCCACAAACACTAACAAAAATGGCAAGTGTTTTACGAGCAGCTTTGTTTGCAAAAAGGCACTGAAACGAGAAAATGAAACAACCTTGGCATAATTAAGCTCAGAAGGAATTAAAGCTGCAATAATCAAAGCAACAGAAGCTAAAAGAAGAATCTGAATAGATTAAGCTGGTGAATGACTTTGTTAGCTATTACGTGATGTCAGAACACACATAAAAACCACCCCTTTAAAACGGCCTGGGGGAAGGGAAGCATCAGATTGTATGACAGCTCAGCCAAAATAAAAGTGGGAATGACATCAGCCAGGTAGCATGTACTACAATGTTTGCCCCCTCTCTGTTTGTTTTAGTCGACAGCAAGAATCCAGATCACTTGAAGCTATTTGTTCTTTGAACTTTATGTTACTGGATCCAACTCATCCTGGTATTGGCCACGATCAACTGCTTGATCCTGAACTCATTGCTTATGCACCCATTTGCTATCTTGGGGGCACATGACTGTGAAGTAGCATCTACGCAGTTAGCTCAGCGTGTGTGGCTAGCTCAGTGGGTTGGACGGCTGGTTTGCAATTGGTTCAATTCCTGCACCAGTTGTGGTTACCATGAAAGTCTTACTTCTCTAACCTCACCTCAGGTGTTGTGACCTTCAGGTTTATCTCACCACCTGTCATCCCTCCCTCCCTCTCTCCAATGAGACAGCAGCACTCGACTATGGTCACTATCAGTGTCTGCTTTGCATCAACTCTTCTGTTCTCTCGCCTAGTGGTGCACCAGGCAGAGAAAGCCCATATATACATCTAGATTTTACCTGAAACAGGTCACTAAGCTGTCACCAGAGCCTGTAGCTTGAGGGACACATCTGCACATTGAGCAAGGCTGATGCAGAGACCCACCACCCCTCCACCTCTTACTGCTTGACACAGGCACATCAGAAGGATTTCCAGGTTGATGAAGAACCCGTTTGCTCACATTACGAAAGCATCACACTGGACTGGCACCTCATCAACTCAAATTTTGCCAAATATCTTGGCATTTGGGTTGAGTTGGGAGAAGCGGGACAGCATTCCTTGAAGGAAGCAATCTTAGGGCACAATTCACACTGTTGGAGGAATGATAGGAAACAGTAGGCTGCAAGAAAAGGCTCGCAGCAATAAAGTAACAACAGGATACATGCAGCTAGAGTGGGATGCTGCCAGGAAACCAGAGAATAAAAGGAGGAAGTTCACATTTCTGAGTGGCACATGCAAGAAACCATGCACAAACAACAAACAATCCAAGACTGGCAGCACAAAGCTCAAAGGATGGCACAAGCTAAGCAAAAGCCCGCCAGAATAGCTGAGTGTGGCAAACACCAAAGAAGTTACTGTGGGCAAATAGCTTGAAATAATCTGAGTTCTGTACATTGGTAAAAACCCAGGAGACACATACTGGAGCAGGACAGACAGTTCTGTTCCTTGGTTCACTTTTAGTGTCCGGAACACAGCAGTAGATTTTTCTTAATGCATTTGTAAGTTCATAAATAGATTCTGCTTCTTTTCAGTCCCAAATTTAAGCTTTTCTATACTAACTAAAGCACAAATATAATCTGCACATGACTTTGGTCCGTTTGTGAAAGTATAAAGTATGAACGCAAGTTTTTGAATTATGGGAACACAGTTGAGTTTCAGTGTTGACTCAGCCAAATCCTTGACTGTGTTTCATTTGTCAATAAAAGTTAAATGTTTTTGAGGAATATTTTCCATCACTTCCTCAAAATAACACTCATTAAAACATACTAACAATGCACTAACCCACTTATACAATGCTAACAATGTAGAGGAGTCTGCAGTGTAAATTGTAACCAGAATTGTTGGTCAACAGGTGTTTTTCTCATGTTGGTTATTCTGAAGGATAAACTTGATTTTTTTAATCAGCAGACTTTGATGCTTCTGGGATTGGGAAACTGAATGCAACTTAAGGGAAGGCAATGTCCTAATGCTATTTTCAGAGATGCAGGTAATGTTCTGGGGACCCAGGTTCACAATCCCATCATGGCAGATGGTGGAATTTGAAGTCAGTTTTAAAAAATGTGGAATTAATTGTTTATCTAATTGTCAATTCTCATAAAAACCCAATTGGCTCACTAATGTCCTTTAGGAAAGGAAACTGCTGTCCTTACCTGGTCTGAATCTGAACAACTTCTGGGCAATTTGAGATGCGCAATAAATTTTGGCCCAACCCATGATGCCCATATCCCATGAGTAAATTAAAAAAAATGTACTCAGTAGCCGGAAAATAAGAAATCAAGACTTGAGCTCTTGAATAGTGAATGAATGGTGTTTTGTTGGTAAACAGTATAAAGGGAGCCATGCTCATGCCACTGGTAACTTGCCACCATTGCCAAGTAAGTGCTACTATTCTTAATTCTCCTTATTTTGAAGTTTGCAATCCCCTTCCGAGTGTTTGTTTGTGATTAAAGCTAAACTCCTAAATCCAGAAACACACAACTCCATACAGTCTACCATTTCTACGTGGCAGTCAGACCATGTTCAATTCAGAGTAGAATTGGGAGTTATTAATTTGGCCAACTATTTATCTTCTACATATTGGAAGTGTTCATGTTTTCTCATCTAAAGGACGGAGTGTTATCTCCTATCCCTAGGGGCATGCATGAGCATTGAAAGGTGGCCTTTTAGACTGGAGTTTAGTGGCATCCTCAGAAGACCTAATGGATCCCACCCAGTAGAGTTATCGTATCTTGATTCTTTATGTCTTCTTTAAAATAGAGCCACGTTCATTGGTATCAACTGTGAATTTAACTCGAGGGTCTGTATGCTGTTATTTAACACAGCTCTACCACAGCTAACCAGCCTACATTTAGGTATACCTTCCCTGAGGCACTATCCTTACCTACAGCAGACAACAAAGGCATCGTCTGTGATCTGGAAGCCAAGAACAGTGTTTTTGATGATAGCTACTCCCCACCCCCACTCTGCACACCCCCCTTCAAAAATAGTTTTATATTTGCCTTCATTTCAAAGGTTCCACTTTGCTGAGCCAACTGGTTGAAAGGAAGAAGGAAAAAGGGATCCCTCAGAGAATTGATTCTACCCATTTGTTCAGCTGCAAATGTCCATTCGCCCTGGTCAGTATCACTTGGCAGTAAGTTGAGCTGTAGCAGGTCAGTCTGAACCGTGTAAGAATGTGTGGACTGGAAACATACAATGTAGCGTTAACCCTTTGCAGTGCAAGACTTTCTTTTCTATCCAAATAGTTCCTGTAGGCTACTGCACTTGTATCTTAGAATAATCCACTTTGATAAGAGTTACCTTATACACATGTAAAAGTAGATTTCATGTAAAAGTTGACCCCATGATTTTTGGCTTAAAGTGGATTTTTTTCAGATCATCTCATGTAAACGATTTCCCTAGTGTTTTTTTTTAAGTGATCAAAGCCCATGAATTTTGAAACCACAGAATAATCATAGAGTTGAAATTGATTAGCTTCCGAAAGTTAGAAAATAAGTAAACATTAGAAATTAATATGAATTCTTTAGTGTGTTGGCTTTTACTTTACTCCTTTGTGCTGGTTAACTTTGGATTTTGTTCAAGTCCAAATTCAGCATATTAACTCTTTGAAAAATATTATCTATGTAATACCCATGATGTTTAACCTTAAAACTAGTCTAAAAAATGTGACTTTTACGTTTGTGCATGAGGTAATAAACAAGAAAAGATGGTTCAACGAATCATGTCCAACTTTAAAGTGAAGAGGAAAAAAAACCCAACACACTCAGAGAAGTCAAATTTAAGTTACTTTCACCACATCTGTATCTTATTACTAAAGGTTTCTCATTTTTAGAAAGACAGGATGCACAAAATGTTCCCAGTTTCTTTAGCTGATGTCACTCCAGCATAATTTAAACAATTGTGGGTAAACTTCAGTGACACGCTAGGCTCAATCTGTTTTATTCCTCCGGAGTGGCGTCAACATTTTTACAAAACATGTTTTCCAATTGTGGATTGTTACCCAGCAGCCAATGGGATGTTACGCTGATCACAGACATACAAATCATCAAGTAGCTGGGAGAACTGAATCACGGAGGCAGTGCAGAGATGAACATACGTTACTGAGTGCTGTACATTGCCATTGTACATCATTTCTTCACCCGACCAGTGAACATGGAACATTGTTTCAATGCTATATTTACCTCGCTTTGCAGAGTTTGAGAATAAAGCAGCAAAAAGAAAACTACATTGGTTGGAAAAAGTCATATAAACGAAACGAGGCCTAAACACCTTTAAAAAATATATATATACACACAAGAATAGAAAGAACTTTAACAATGGGTCATCAATAGCCAGTTAAATTGCATTCTCTTGGCCTTCACTCAATGCAGTAGTAAGCCACATGAATGTGCTTTTGTTTCTTGTGCATATAAGCACCAGTTGACATGTTTTACAGAAATAAATACAATGCAATGGAGCCCAGATCAAACTCATTCTAAATGCAAATACAAATTTGCAGGATAGGTGATGGGACAGATTCCAATCACCATTCCTGTTGGGAGGAACAGACAGGCTGCATCCTTCCCATTATACTCCTCTAACTTGCCTGCACCCTGGAAGTTGTCAATGAAAGCAGAGAGATGATTTACTGACAATGCAAAGGCAGTGTTCATCTGTAGCGCGAGGCTGTGAGACAAGGAGCAGTTGACTGGACCGTAAATCTTTGACAGCTTCTTCAGAACGTTTCCTGAATTAGTGTTTTCTGATCAGTGCAGACCCTGGTAGAGGTAGACTGAGGCAAAGATCACATTTGCAGTCAGACTTAATCCCAGAAGACTTGTCCACAGGATGTTTCCACAAAGTCCTTGGTTAGAGATATTGCAACAAAATAGAACAAAATATAAATAGATTGAATAAGCAAAGGAAAATATTCACAGTTGCAGCTTATTACACTTGATAGATCAAGAAAACAAGCATTTTCTTAAAACTGGATGATTTAACATTACATGTTAAAAAAACCTACCATTCTCTGTCAATCATACACTGTATTTATTATTAATGGCTCGGATATTCCAAGTTCTGAGGTGTTACCTCTGGATTGCTAAACCACACACATCTATTAAGCTGCTGTGAATATGGAGTGTAAAACAATTAAGTTGACAAGAGAAGCAGGATTTTTCAGTCTTTGCTAACAATCACGACAGGTTTGTGTTCATTTTCAAGATCCTTTCTCCACTTGGGACTAAAATGTACACTTTTAGCTAAAAATGAATTCATTTTAATTTATGAGCACGACACTATTTAGGACATTCAAACTAATGGTACTTTTGTTTTGGATGTTGTGGGCTATGGGAAAACATGCAGCACCATTCTTCAGCAAACCAGGCTTTTTACAATTTTGCTCAAGAATTGAGGGACACTTTGGGATGATGCTTTTTTTAATACTGACCGTTCTCTTTTGATTGGAATCAAATTCTAGGATCTAAAAATACTGGTGCGTTGGAAAATCTCATTGAAATTGTACAAAGAAATAACAGGCCACTGCCATGAGCCCCAAGCTGAAAGTTACCAACAAAAAAAAACCCTTCAGTGGCAGGAAAATCATAAAAAGGAACCACCTCAGTGAAAATGCAAACTATAGCAACAAGTTCAGCTCCACCGTCCAATTGCATTGTCAACAGGTTAACCTCAACTTGCCCCAGATATAACGGGTTTCAATTGAATTGTCCATGTTATCCTGCAGGGCAGAAGCAGTGTACAAACCAGAACACTTGCATATCCATCAAGCTGTCAAATTAAACACCTGGCTGTCTCATCATTTTGAGACACACAGGACGATTACACAGTTACAAAGCTTCTAATGTGCCACGTTGTTTGCAAAAGGTCAATGGTTGAATTTGTTTGAATGTTCAATTAACCCTTTCCTTTCTCCCCTTGAGCTCAGTCTAAAACCAATTTAATTTGAAAGGAACACAGTTTGCTGAAACAGTTTATTGATTGGCATTGGGAAGCACAATTGTGGTGATTTAGTCTATACTTTAAAGAAACTAAGCTAAAGAGAAGTGTATGCAACAATAGAGCTACATGGGTATAAACTCACTGATGTCCTACTTAGGAAATGTTGCAATATCTCACAAAGCAGTACTGTCATTGGCTAAAAGCAGTTCTGGATGAGTTAATAATGTCCACTTCATGTGAGTAAAACATTTTCAAAAACATCCCTACTTATGGATTGTTAATGCAGAAATGAAGCAAACATCAAATCCTAACTGCTTCACCTGATTGTCACTCAAACCTATTCTTGACGTAGCTGTGGGAATTCAGGAAACCTTCAAAGGAAAACTCATTTTCTACTGTTCACCGAGAGCTTTAGAAAGGATCGCCACCCACTTCAAATAGATGAAAATTAAAAATAATTTCTTGTCGAGAAAGGGAATGACATTATTCATCATTGGCTTCAGGAAGTAGAATGGAGGGCACACTCCTGTCTGCATCAATGGTGCTGAGGTGGACTGTGTCAAAGTTCCTGAGAGTGATGATCATCAACAATCTGTCCTGGTCTATCCACGTCGACACAACAGTCAAGAAAGCACAACAATATCGCTACTTCCTCAGAAGACTAAGGAAATTTGGCACGTCCACAAGGACTCTTACCAATTTTTATAGATGCACCACTCAAAGCATCTATCTAGATTTATCACTGCGTAGCATGGCAACTGCTCTTCCCACAGCCACAAAAAATTGCACAGAGTTGTGTACACAGCCCAGGCCATCACACAAACCAGCCTTCCATCCACTGACTCCATCTGTACTTCCTGTTGCCTTGGGAAAGCAACCAACATAATCAAAGACCCTTCCCAGCCCAGTTACACTCTCTTCTGCCAGGCAGAAAATATAAAAGTTTGAATACATGTACCAACAGATTCAGGAACAGTTTCTTCCTCACTGTTATCAGACTATTGAATGGACCTCTCAAATGTTAATTGTGATCTCTCTCTCTCTGCACCTTCCCTGCAGCTGTAACACTGTATTCTCCACTCTGTGATGCACTTTGTATGGTACATTCTGCCTGGTTAGCACACAAAACAACATTTTCCCTGTATCTCGGTACATGTGACAACAATAAATCAATTATTCAAACTGATTCTGAAGCCAGTATTTCTACTTCATTCAGATAGTGACTATTGCAGTCAGATTTGACATTCTAGAAGAGAATCATCAACATTTTGAGCATTTCAGCACCCTTTTTGCAGGCAGCATGTATTCCTGTTGCTGGAGTGAGATTGTCCTTTTCCTATATTCTACATCGCACCTGCAGTCAAAGACCTTGCATAAAGCAAAACACATCTGGCCTTGTTAATTCCTGCACAATCTTGTCCTAACCTATCTCCTTCAGTCTTATATCCTTCTCTGTACCCTCAGGCCCTCTGGTCTTTTTTGCATACTCCTTCCATTTGCACTTATCACTACTGGGAGCTGATCCTTCAGCCACCTACACACATAGTCTGGGACTTTCTCCATCAATTCTGCAGTTGTCTTAACAACTCTCTCAAAGTCCAGCTTTTTACGAAAGCTTTCAAGCTGCATATGCAGCCTTTGCAACATGGTTGAACATCTGATCCTTTATCATCACTTTTATCTATCTTGTGCCCTAGTAAAGTAAGGGCAGCACATTTCCCACATTAAAACTGTTACATAGATGCAAGTTGTCGTTGAAATCTTTTGTATTTACAATGACAATCGAAAGGTCACGAATGTCTCAGAACTTTAATTTTTGCTAACCACACCCAAAGTAGTTACCATCTTCTGATCTGTAGTTTAAAGTTAGAAGACCAGAAGACATGAGAGCAGAAGTGGGCCACTCAGCCCATCGAGTCTGCTCTGCCATTCAATGAGATCATGGCTGATCTGATAATCTCAATCCTACTTTCCCACCTTTTCCATATAACATGTGATTTCTTTGCCGATTAAAAACCTATCTCAGCCTCGAATAAACAGAGTGACTCAGCCTCAGCAGTCCTCAATGGTAAAGAATTCCACAGATTCGTTATCCTCAGAAAAGAAATTCCTCATTTCTGTCTTAAACAGGTGATCTCTTTTTATTATGAGATTCCGTTCTCTAGTCCTAGACTCTCCCACAAGGGGAGACAAACATTCTTCATCCACCCTACCCATCCCATTGACAAGTACATTTATTTATTGTTTTTGATGGAAAGCTTGACTTGGAAAAGTGAAGCAGAACACGTACAGCGTAATTCATGCACTGCTAGTTGAGGGAAAATAATCCACACATTAGCTTTAATCAGCTAAAGACCCTTTGCATGACCAGCCTTTTTGTAACAAGAAAGCTGCAAATCATCACTTAGCACCAAGTCAAGAGTCCTTTAATGCTGCTATCACACTCACTGAAATGAATCCCCATGCACCAAGCGAAGCCACATTCCTGAGAGTGTTGTATCAGTAATTCATTGTAAGAAGAGAATGAATGTAATGTTACCCCACTATTAGTTTACTTGAACTATGTCTTCCCTATAGCACCCTTCTCTTTCCAAGCTATCAAAAGCTGTTTGTTTTTTAGGTTTAATACCTGTCAACACAAAAAAAAACTAAAATGTGTTCCAAGGTCAGGTTACAGCAGGGGAATCTCTTGTTGTTATGTTTCCCTTTTCTTGGGTGTTTTAACAATTTCTTGCAAGAGTCCATGCATAAAATTGAATCTGAATTTCTCTCAACTTCCAGTTGTGATTGGGAAGGTTACAGATTCAAAATCCATGGAGAACTGATCTCTTAATCCAGACAACCACTTAAATGCTCTCCTGCCTTGCTGTCACGCTGGAAGAGGAATTGCTTTGGATGAGATGTTAATGCAAAGCCCCCTTTGCCATTCTCAAGTAGAAGTCAATGATATTCCCACTGTCCTGGTTGACATTTGTGCCTCAGTCAACAGCAACAGTTTATCCAGTTTATGTGTTTATTTCTCATTTGCGTGGGTTTGACACATGTAAAGTGGTGGCTGTGTTACCAATCTGACAGAGTGACTGCGCTTCCAAAAATAGTGAATTGGTTGTGAAATTCCAGAGATGTTCTGATGATGTGAAAAGTGCAATGTGAATGCAAGTTCCTTTCTTCCTGCACATGAATCTTCCTGGGCTACAAACCTTAGGTGCTATTTCTGGGGGCTAGTACAATCAATTTCTGCCGCTTCTCCAGTTCAAAGTTAAAATCCCTGGGTGGCTGATGGACCACTTTTACACTGAACTGTAAACCAGAGAACGGGACAGAGAATGTACAAATGGCCCACAGAATCATAGAATCCCTACAATGTGGAAGCAGTCTGTTCAGCCCATCGAGTCCACACAGACCCACCAAGCTCCCAGAACCATGCCCCCCTTGCAACCCCACCCTATCCCTGTAACACTGCATTTACCATGCCTAACTCAGCTAACCTGCATATCCCTGGACACTAATGGGCAGTTTAGCATGGCCAGTGCATGTAACCTGCCCATCATTGTTTGGACTGTGGGAGGAAACCCATGCAGATATGGGGAGAATGTGCAAACTGCACACGGGCGGTCACCCGAGGGTGGAATCGAACCCGCGTCCCCGGTGCTGTGAGGCAGCAGTGAGCCACTGTGCACCGACTCATCTGGTTCTATGCTAGCTTGGGACCGACGTGGATTCACGGCCAAAACAAAACCGAGAAAACATTTAAAAAGTGGCTCATTCACCAAACTTTTTAGTAGAAAGTGGGTAATTTTCCCCTCCACTCTACAGTGAGCGCCACATTCCCTCAATTTGATTCTTTCTGCCTTACTCTAGCTTATCTCCTGTGTGACAGATTTAAATCTGAAAATGCAGTGTTCTGCGGTTTCTCCCCAAGAAATCAACCTAAATGTGAGAGCCGAGATACCTTGTGTCACTTTGGAAGCAGGACCACACCTGTCATCACTTGACATCTACACACACTCACTTGTCAACAGGGGTCAATGGTGGGCAATGGAAAGGCTGATTTATTCACTTCCTTCTCATTCAAGGAAGGGGAAGTGAACCGCAGCTGCTCGAGTGCTGTCCCAGCCCACCGTCAGCTAACTCACTGCAGACTGGGATTTAAATCTGCATCGTCTTGCTCTTTCAAGTTTGCGAATACGATAGACAGAGTCTTTGTCCACTGGGCTGCTGGCAAAAACTTGAGGCTTTAGCTGCTGTTTGCAGCTGCTCACCCTCGAAAATGCTGCCCTGATGAAGAGGCCTGGGGAATTGGAGAAAAGTAATATAGCTCCCAGCTTTTAGGACCCTTCTAATAGGGGCCAAGAGAGGAGCCTGCAAAATGCATCTTCCAGCAGTGACAGCAAGGGCACATTCTCTGGTCACATGAAAGCTCAAATAACGACAAGATCTTTGCTTTATGTTGTGCCTTTAATACCATAAAACATCACAAAGTGCATCACAGAAGCACTATTGAGTAATATTGATCAACAAACACAAGAGAAACACAGAAAATAGGAGGAGTAGGCCACACAGCCTATTGAGCGTGCTCCGCCCATTCAATAATATTATGGATGATCACCCAACTCGCTCCCCTGTTCCTGCTTTCTCCCCATATCCTTTGATCCCTAAGAACTATGTCTACCTCCTGGTTGAAAACATTTAATGTTTTGGCCTCAGCCACTTTGTGTGCCAGAGAAATGCTCAGGCTCCCCGCTGTCTGGGTGAAGAAACAGAGATTGGGGAAATAGCTGATTGATCGGACTTGACCCAAACAGGAGGCTGTCTGTTTTGAAACTATATTGGTTGAAGTGTTTAAAATGTGCATCAAATAGACAGAAAACAGAGATAAAAGTAAAATTCAAATTTAATCTTTTATGATACCACCACAAGTAGAGTTCTAAATATGGGTTTTTTTGGAAAAGTCTAAAAGCCACCAAACAATACTCCCTATTTCCACCTGATTAAAGTAGAAAAACAATTTCAATGGTGTCTGTAGTTCTCCTGTTGTCCATTCTTCTAGCAGACTCACCCACTACGGAAGGCATCATGGTTAAACCTGGCTTCCACACCACTGCATTTTCTAGAGAGTCACTGATGTAGAGTCCATGTCTGCCAGCAACTGCTTTCTCTCCCTAACCCAGGCATGATAATGGCCACTGCAGCACACCCTGGGTAGGATCAACTAACTCAGCATGGCTGAATGTAATAAGCCACAAGAAATAGGAGTAGGCAGTCTGGCCTTGTACAGCGTGCTTCACCAATCCTTAAGATCCTAATATCTCAGCTGCACCTACTTGTCTTATCCCTCAGTTGCCCCAAAATGGGGAGATGGTGGTAAGGTCACTGGACTAGTAATCCGGAGATCCCAGGTTAATGCTCTGCTAAACGGATTCAAATGTCACACAGGTGGAGTTTAAACCCAATTAATAAAATTTGGAATTAAAAGCTAGTCCCAGTAACAGTGACCAAGAGACTATCGTTAATTGTTGGAAAAACCCATCTGGTTCACTAATGTGCCTTAGAGAAGGAAGTCTGCTGTTATTACTCAGTCTGGCCTACATGTGACTCCACACCCAGAGCAATGTGGTCGACTCTTATTTTCCCTTTGAAGTGGTTGAGCAAGCCATTCAATTCAAAGGCAATTGGGGATGGCCAACAAATGGCCTTGGCCAGAAATGCTCACAATCCCATGGCAGAATAAATAAAACAGTTACAGTTTGGTGATGGAACACTAGGTACACCATTTGTTATCACTCTTTCCCTCAGCAAAACTTCTTTCTTGGGTTAAACTCAGTGGCAGTAGTGTTGGGGGTGGGGGTGGAATTGTAAGTGGTCCTTAGTTGACCACGTAAGGACCTATTCTTCACTGCAGAGGGCTGACCAGGCTGGGTCATTAAGTGTAACTATTAAGATAGTCAGGTTTTTACTCTGTAAAGCCAGCAAGGGTCATGGGGAAAAGGCAGGAAAAGTAGAGTTGAGGATTAATCAGATCAGCCACGATCTCACTGAGTGGCAGAGGAGACTTGATGGGCTGGGAATGGCCTACTTCTGCTCAGAGGTCTTACGGCCGCGTGTTGTTAAGATGCCTGTGTGTATACACCGAAGAAATGAAGATGCTAAGGTGCCTGCTGATGAATATCAAACACCGAGAATAGGGGTGAAAGCAAAACAAAAAATCTACCCGAGGCAAACTTCACCTTAGCAGCACTATGATACGGTATAGTACCTATCCCCACCCTAACTCCCCACCTACACTCACTTTTACTGGCTCCATCCCCGCCTCTTTGATCTGTCTGTCTCCTCTCCACCTATCTTCTCCTCTATCCATCTTCCATCCACCTCCCCCTCTCTCCCTATTTATTTCAAAATCCCCTTCCCCTCCCCCATTTCTGAAGAAGGGTCCAGACCTGAAACGTCAGCTTTTCTGCTCCTCTGATGCTGCTTGGCCTGCTGTGTTCATCCAGCTCTACACCTTGTTTTCTCCGATACTCCAGCATCGGCAGTTCCTACTGACTATGATACGGTACATCCTTTTCGTTACATTCTTCATTCTTTCATAGTGCGAGTGTGTAGCCAGCAAAGCTAACATTTGTTGTCCATTCCTAATTGCCCTTAAGCCAAGTGGCTTGCTTGGCCATTTCAGGGGGCAATTCAGAGTCAACCAGGTTGCTGTGGGTCTGGAGTCACATGGGGGCCAGATCAATTAAGGGCAGCTTTCCTTCCCTGAAGGCCATTAGTAAACCAGATGGGTTTTTAAGACAATCGATGGGGATCACCATTGTCAAAACTAGCTTTCAATTCCATTGTTATTCTATAGCATTAGTCTGGGTCAGTGACATCATTAATGCGCCAGTATCTATCCAGTGCAAAATCTGTTAAAAAATCTGCGATTTGCTGTAAACAATGACATAGGAGCAAATGCTCATGAGTAAGTAAACAGTCTACAAGTTGGCAAAATCATAAGCACCAAAAATAAACACAACATTGCAAAATACCATTTAAGGAAATCTACTGATAGCTAATATTTTCTTCAGGGTCTAAAATACAGCCATACTGAAAATATTAAATCATCATTGCCAGCTTTACTCTTTTTAAAAAAGAGAACTTTTAATTGACCACTGGCAGACGTTTAGCTCAGTTAAAAACCATACCTTTCCATCCTCGGGCACTGTCAGCCACCTGCTGCCCAACGTTGGTGGTGGTATCAACCACACAAGCTGAGGATCTGGAAGAGCTATCTTTCCTCTGGCCAGTTGTCTCACTGTATACACTCCCTCCTTCAGCAGACTTGGCATCTGAAGAGAACAGAATAATACACAAGGTTGAGAGAGCTAGAGCTTTTCTCTTTAAAACGATGAAGGATGAGAGGTGACTTGATAGAGGTGTACAAAATGATCAGAGGTATAGATAGAGTGGACAGCCAAAGACTTTTTCCTAGGGTGGAGGTAGCTATTACGAGGGGGCATAGGTTAAAAGTGAGTGGAGGTAAATATAGGGGAGACGTCAGAGGTAGGTTCTTTACTCAGAGAATGGTAGGGGCGTGGAATGCATTGCCAGAGAGAGTAGTGGATCGGCCTCATTAGGGGCATTTAAGCAGCTATTAGATAGGCATATGGATGCTAGTATAAGGTAGGGGTGGAGGTTAGATAGACCTTAGGATTAGGGTAAAAGTTTGGCACAACATCAAGAGCCGAAGGGCCTGTACTGTGCTGTGCTGTTCTATGTTCTGTGAACAAAGTTAAGGTGCTCCTGTTACCAGGTGTTATGAATGTAGTTAAAATGTACTATTAATATTTAATTTTCATCACTAAACTTCAATTCTTGAGACTTCTATAGACTAAATATGGTTTTAAGATATTGTCTGACAAGCTCAGGAAGTTGATATGGAATATATGATATCAAGTGAATCAGAATTACCATTTTAATCAAGAGGCACTGAAATTTAGCAAGGTGTCAAGCAAATTGGATCTCTTGCTTTACCTATACTTGCAAAATAAATTGCCATAATACAGATGAATATTTACCTGCTGATCATTCAGTTTGAGAAAGACAACAAAGGTAGTCTTGGAGTATACAAGTTAACTATATTTTAATAGCTTGCTTTGAGCAAAAGGAGAAAGAAAGCAACATGGACTAATAACCGCAAGTAGACTGAAAGGTCTTCTTCTCTCCCTCAATTTCAGAAACGAACACTGGTGAAATAGCAACTGGAAAAACCACCATTCGCTGAGAAACCAAGGTTATCTGCAAGCTTTTCCATTGCCGAGGAAACAGGACAACAAAACCACTCGGACTCAGGGGACGAGGGCGTCGCTGGCCAGGCAGCATTTATTGCCCATCCCTAATTGCCCAGAGGGCAGTTAAGAGTCAACCACATTGCTGTGGGTCTGGAGTCACGTGTAGCCCAGACCAGGTAAGGATGGCAGTTTCCTTTCCTAAAGGACATTAGTGAACCAGATGGGTTTTTCTGACAATCAACAATGGATTCATGGTCATCATTAGACTGTTAATTCCAGATATCTATTGAGTTCAAATTCCACCATATGCCGTGGTGGAATTTGAACCTGGGTCCTCAGGATATTATCTGGATCTCTAGATTAACAGTCCAGTAATAATACCACTAGACCATCGCCTCCCCTTTTGCAACTCAATATCAGTAAAAGCTAAACTGCAACAGCCTACACCTTCCTTTCTGTATAGACACTGTCCTCCTTCCTTTTTAAATTTATTATCTTTGTTGTGTGTATGTGTTAGAAGCCATGTTTTCTTCAGTTCAGTAAGTAATAAAATTCCACTCTCGCACTTAAGAAAAAAAATCTTAGAATTAGCTCTCCATTTTTGATCTGGTTAACTCAGTATCTTATTGAAGTGCAATACATTGGCCAAATGAATGGTCACCATGATAGGCCTGGGCAGCGATGATGGAGGAAGGACAAGTCAAGGAGGACAGGAAGAGAAGATGCTGGCTTTCTGAGAAGAAATACAAGTAGAGAAGCCTAACCTAATGCACACAGAATTGGGACTGTAGCTATCGCATAACCATTGAGGAAGGAAGGGGTCAACAATCAGCCTGAAGCATAAAGTGCTGCATAGCAACTAACCCGTCATTTGGTCAAAGAAGCAGAACTCAAGACAAGTGAAAAATCTGAACAATGCTAAGATGCGGGGAAAAAAATTAACATTTTACTGGTACTAGTTCCACACATGATTAAACATTAATTATAGCTTCAGGACATTTTACTCACAAATACAAACCTATTCCCATTCATCAAAGACACTGACAACAGCAATTATTAAAAAATTAGTGCCAACACAAAGATCACGTTTTGGTTTGCTTTCAACTTGTGCCACAAATCCTGTTACTAGCACAGAAACATCATCTTGGAAATTTTCTTTTCATGTCAATCCACAAGCAAAGTGAACTTATAAGCTTGACAGCTCCAACAAGCAGTTCAATGCTGGTCTGCTCGATTTTTAGACTAGACTAAATCGAACGTTTTTCGAAATTATGTTTGAGTGCATGTTGCCTTTGTTTTAATCGATTGAGAATCTTGTTGGGATATTTGCTGTCCATCTCAGTGAAGACCAGGCAATCATTAAAAAAAAAAGACTAATATCCACGCTGTTGGGGGTCTTTGTTAAATGACAGTCACTTGTATTTAATGAAGATGTTCAACATAGTAAAGCGTCCCAAGGCATTAAACAGGAAAGTAAAATAGAAAATTTGACATTGAGCCCCATATGCAGCCATTTGGGCAGATGAACAAAAGCTTTGTCAAAGAGGTAGGTTTTAAGGATTGTGACAGAGGAGAACAGCAAGAGGGGATGACAGGTTGGGAGAGGTATTTCAGAGCTAGCAGCTAAAGGTATGGCTACCACTGACTGCGGTTACAATTGGGAATACTCAAGAGGTCAGAATTAGAGGAGAATTCATTAGGGTTGTAGGAATCAAAGAGATTAGAGAGATAGGGAGCAGTGATGCTATGGAAGATATCCACTCACTGGATAAACTATGAGTGATGTTCAACATTGTAGCACATCATGGAAACCAACTTTACTCACGCTGGGCACTCACAGACTGAGGGAACAGGGGAAGGCAAGGAAAGATGGAAGCTTGAAGAGTACAACATCGCATGGTGGGGAACCACAAGAAGGTGGTTGAGTGAAATATTCAGCGACTAGAGACAGGAACCTGGGGGAGGACTGATTGAAGAAGGGAAATGACATTTTGTGGGATGAGGCCTTTGAGCATTGGTGCTCTTATTCCATCAACTGTTTCAAGCAACGGAAGCGCCAGCACCCAAAAGATTGTGACAGTTCCCTTGACCAGAACAATCCAGTCTGTTGTGCACCCTGCGATGTGATGGATGTTTACGAGGAGAAAGACAAAATTTCAAAAGACTTTCTCTTCCCCACCCTTTTGGGACTTGTCTTTGACAAAAAGGGAAAAATGTCAAAACTGGGATCATTGCATTACTTTAGGAAATTTGGACATTGAAATTATAATTTCAGTTATGTAAAACTGGGATTGTGCTGGCAAAGCCAAAACACTTTACAGGTGCAGATCGATGGGCTGAAGAGCCTCTTCTGCACTGTATAATTCTATGATTCGGTCACCCTTGCAAGGGATCAGCATTTTTAAAACACAAGCAAGAAGCAAGACTCTGTTTATGCCAAAGCAGTTGTACAGGGCACATCCGGTGCACGTGCTAGCCCCACATAAAGAGGCAACAGTTTTGAAATGGAAAATGGAAAATGGGGCAGCTCAGTGGTTAGCACTGCTGCCTCATAGCACCAGGTATCCAGGTTCAATTCCACCCTCGGGTGACTGTCTGTGTGGACATTCTCCCTGTGTCTGCATGGGTTTCCTCCGGGTGCTCTGGTTTCCTCCCACAGTCCAAAGATGTGCAGGTTAGGTGGATGGACTATGGTAAATTGCCCATAGTGTGCAGGGATGTGTAAAGTAGATAGGTTATAGGGGAATGGGTCAGGGTGGGATGTTCTGAGGGTCGGTGTGGACTTGTTGGGTCGAAGGGCCTGTTTCCACACTGTAGGGATTCTATGAAAATATGCCCTCACTCTTCAATTTTGATTGGAACCACTGAGACAAGATATAAAGTTATGAAATCACTGACGCAAAAACCCAAGTTCAAGGGCAAGCCAGGTGGTGAAGGAAGTGGAGAATGGGTCGTGGAGAACAGGATGAAGAGTGAGGCCGTAAGGGGAAAAGCGAGGAAAGGGATGGGATGGGGCAGCAATAGGCACACCGTTTCTGCTTCCTGTGCGGTATACACACAACAGGAACATCAATGGCACCGACTTCCTGTTCAAGCACTCTGGCAGGAGATACACCGTCAAAGCAAATATGAGAAAGAGCTACTGGTGGTCAGAAAGAGAAAAGCATCCATCTACAAGCAACAATGAGATAATGATCAGAACATTTGTTTCTTTGAGATGTTGACAGAGGGACAACTATCAGTCCAGACAGTTACTCCCCTGCTGTTGTTTGAAATAATGCCACGGGATCTTTAACATCCACTTGAAGGGGGAACTGGGGGCCTTGGGTTAATGTCTCATCTGCAAGATGGCTCTTTCTGCAATGCTGTGCTGTGCTCCTTTGGTACTGAATTTCTTGTTCACATCAGGCACCTCTTATCAAAGTTCCTCAGATTTCTAATAAAACTCAACCACTCTAAGTTGTGATTCCTCACCATCACATTAAACAGCTTAGTCACTTCTTTGTATTTGCATTAAATTTTAATCAGTATAGCTTTTTCAATGGACTTCTAGTGAAATATTAAAGCTTTCAGAAGACTGAGATTTTTATGCTGAAATTTCTCTCTTGTTTCATCAAATGAAATTCTCACCACGTCCAGGGTTAAGAAATCATCATTTCAAACAGTCTGTGCACTTGCATTCTGTGAGATTGAGCTGTTTGATGAGTATTTAAATCTGCAGGGTACAGCTTTTGTCTGATTAATCCCTGAAGATGGTCTTCACTTCCTCTTTTCTCTTTTCCGGTTGGAGTATCACTGTCAGTGCCAGGTGTTGCACTAATGTTGTGGGATCCCTCGATATAGGAGCAGAAGAACAAGGCAATCTGATCTTTCTCAATCCAGTTCCTGTAAACGTCTGATGGAATATGTTGAAGATAAGCCTACCGTGGTCAAATTTCTCAACTTCCTTTCCCTGAAATCAATGTCAATCACTTTCCAGCTAAATCCCTCGGTTAGTACAACAAAGATGGACAGACAGGGAGGAAAAAAAAAATTACACTAATCATAACTAATCCCAC